GAACGCGCCGAGGGGCACGCAGGCGTCTGCGCGAAATGCGGCTTCACGACAACTGGTGGGGAGGCGTTTCGGGTGCACACATGACGGCGAAGCACGCGATAGGCCCGCCCCCCAAGTGTGAGTGCGATTCGCGTGGCCCGCACCGCACCGCGCGCGAGAACCCCGGCGCCTCCTCCACAACCCCGGCCGCCGCTGCGAGAGCGCGTCCATCAGCGCGCCCTCGACCTTCGATGCCCCGCTTGTGGCAAGCGCTGTCGCGCGCAGTTCCACTTCAGTTGGCGCAAAGGCCCACTGCTGCGGCCAACACGCCCTGAAGGCTCCTGTGGTGAACTGGGTTCTCTCGCGGCCACCCTGGTCGCTTCGAGTGCCCGTGCTGCCCAAAACACGCGTGGGCGCCCAGCTGGACCCGCGCGCGCATGCTCGAAAACTTCACCCAGACCGCTTCCTCCTGCGCATTCCCATTGCACCGCAACTACTGGAATACTCCCCACTTTCCGTAGTGTGGCGGAGGACCCGGAGCGCCTCAAACGTCCCTACTGCGTGCAGGTCAAACGTGTCGGGTGGGCCGTTCGTCACGTGAGGGCGGGGCACTCGTCACTGCCGAGGCGGCAACGAGACCAGCGCCGCAACGCCACGGCGGAGTAACCCTGAGAGCGCGGGAAGGGCAGCGTTTGCCCCGCTGGGGAAAATAAATGCGTCCCTTCCCGATGAAGGAATATAGAAAAAAATACGGAGCAACGCCTTCCCTTGCATTTCCTGCGAGATGCCTTGCGATTCCCGCGACGCACTTCGGAAGCGTCTGTCTGCAGCGCCCGGCGCAAGTCACGCTCAGGGGCTGTTTGGCCGCGCCTAACCGCAGCGCTCCACAAAACGACCATGCGATGATAGTGAGGCGGACGTGGCGGAGCCACTGCCAAAGATCCATCGGCGTGGGGTGCACACGGTGCCCGCACTGCCCTTCCACCTTTGTCGCCGGGCGCAAGCCCCAGGCGCCCGCGTTGGCAGAGTTCACGGCAAGGGCGGGGCAAGGCACGCAAAACTAAGCCGTGGCTCAGAAACAGCTTGTGTGCGAGGAGGCGCCGGGGCGCTGCTCTCCTGTGCGGCACGGCGAGCCAAATTCGGTTTGGAGGGATTGGGGACGCCTGAGCTCTAGTTTAGTAAGCGACCTGCCCGGCTCCTGTGTGGTCTGTGCGGTCTCCCAAGCCATGAACCGTTTCCCGTCCGTGACGACAATACGTGTGTGGATGGTGTCGCTCGCCCGGCGAATGGAGGGAGGGCAGTTTATTTTATTATTTTGCTCGCTTTTCCCAGTTTTGGACTCCTTTGCTTCCCACCCACACTCGCCCGCGGGGTGTGCGCCTTAACTGATGCGCATCGAAACTTCTCCTCCTGCACCACTCTTCGGGGGAGGAGGAAACGGATTCGGCGAGAGTGCTTGGCTTCAACTTTGGCTGTTCTCGCACGACGGAGAAGTTGCTGCCACCGCAGCCTCCTCAGAAGGGCGATGGGGCTCCGCACGTGGAGCGGGAGAACGCTGACGTTCGAAGAAGGAGAGAGAAAAAAAAAAAAGAGAACGGAGGCGGTGGGCGTCGATGGTAGGGGGTGGGGAAGGCGGTGAACCCGCCAACTCCCGCCAACCTCCCCGTTGAGGCCGAAATAGCGGCTCTGCTTTAGTTCCCCCAACAACTGCAGGGCGCGTTGCCGTGGAGCATGTAGCCGCGATCCACGGACTGGTGCTTGGGCCCTCCTTTTTGAGTGAGTGGCAAACCGTGGCACCACGATGCCGGTCAGCGGCGTCGTCGGGGGATTTGGACATTTCCTTTTCACCGTCTTTCCAATACACCACGATTCTTTCTTATGAGGAGTGTGAGCATCATTCTTATTCTGGAACTGTAGTATATATATATATATACTTGAGCCTCTCTCTCTCTCTATATATATATATGTGTGTGTATTTTTTAAATTATGATTTCTTTCTCTGTGGGTGCATGGATGGCTGCGTCTGCCGCGCAAAAAGGTAGCGTGGGGAGTGGGGGTGGGGCGGTGGCGCAAAGATGGGGGCCCATACAAGTAAAGTCCCGGTTCAGCAGCGTAAGGTGTCGGCCGAGGCGCCCAAGGCTGTCATCACTTCGTCGGACAGAGCTCAGTTGGAGCTGAAGTTGCAGCGTGACAGGCTTATGGCGGCGGTCAGACGGTATGACGTTGTGGCGAAGGAAGAGCGCGCCAAGGCCCGTGAGTTCGTGCGCTCTGGCAATCGTCGTAAGGCTTTGTATTGCCTCAAGCGGGAGCAGCTACAGCGGACGCAGGTCACAAGCGTTACGGACATGCTGGATAATGTACAAAGGTTGCTTGACACGGTTGAATTTACCCAGATTGAGCTGGAGGTGTTTGATGCAATAAAAGGGGGCAAGGAGGAGCTTTCAAAGCTGAACGCGATGCTAAACGTGGATGACATTGCCGAGCTCATGGATGATACTGCAGAAACAATCGAGGAGGCCCGGCGTATCAACGTTATTTTGGCACAGCCGCTTGAAGGATACGAGGATGATGAAGCCCTTCTTGCTGAGCTGCTTTCTCAAGGCGTAAGTAGTGCCCCTGCTGCGGAGGTCGCAGTGGAAGAAGTTGCCGTTCCGACGCATAAACTCCCACAATCCCCGGCAACGGAGGGCCATGCAACTGCGGGAGAGTCCGAAAGAATAGGCTTGTCTGCGTAGCAGAGACACGTGTTGCGTTTTAGTTGAGAAGGCGAAGGCGCAGAGGTGCACAGTTGTTTTTTTGTCGTGTGTGTGTGTGTGTGTGTGTGTTTTAATGGCTTTAAAATATATATATATATACATTTTCTTTTTTAAAGCTTTGGATACAGTTGGCGATCCGCGAGGCCAAAACTGGCGGCGTGCCCTGCTGACACGTGTCCAGGGCTACGCTACGGCACCCAAGAAGAAGCCTTTTGCCAATGAATATATACGTGTGTGTGTATATACACACATATACATATATATATATATATATATATATATTTACGGATCTATCTCTCTGTTTATCCACGTGTGTGCGTGTGCGTGTGCGTGTCTCTTGGGCCTGTGCTTCCCCGCGTTGCCCGCGTCTTCGCCTCTCTTGGCGGGTGTGTGCGTCCGCCGTGGCCTCGTTTTTATTGCGGCCCCCTCCCCCCGGTATGTTTCCCTCTCCGCGAGGCTTCTCTGGGCACACCCGCTTGAGGAAACGTGCGAGGGGAGAGGGTAGGCGAGAGAAACGGGAGAGGGAAAAAAAAAGGAAGAAAGACAAAAGCCGAAACAAAAAAAACACACAAGCAACAAGGAAACGATAGAGACACATACGCAGAAAGGGGAAAAGCAGAGACAAGGATAACAAGGCAAGAAGTTGATGCTCGGTCGAATTTTTTTCGTTACATCATGTGCCTCGGTGTTTGCGGGGACAGCGTACTTTGTCGGCGTCGCCCTCAGCCCCCCGCCCTCCTACACAGTGAACAACCGGCAGCGGCTTGAGCGCTACGATGCGCTGTCGCACGAAAATGCCTATGAAAAGCAGACGCGTGGACAGGAGTTTTATCTTGGCATCAGCCGCTGGCGGCGGCGCATGCTGCGGGATGAGGGCCTGGTGCGGGGCCGCGTCCTGGAAGTTGGCGCGGGTTGTGGAGGCAACGCGAGTTACTACGAGCCCCTGCTGCGCCCCGCGGCGGCAGGTGAGGGAAGAGGTGGGCAGCAGCCGAGCCACGCGCCGGTGGTGGAGATCGTGATGAGTGACCGCTCGCCAGGCATGGTGGAGGCGACGACCAAGCAGATCCAGCAGCGCTGCGGCTACGCTCCCTACCGCTACCCCGACTACGACGTGGCTGGCATCCTTGACGCGGTGAAGAAAAGTGAGGCCGCCGGAGCCGGGGGCGACGGTGGATCCTCCGCGGAAAATAAAAGTGAGGGGCAGCGGCACACCCCTGGCGGGGGTGTGATCAGGCGCAAGATTTTTCACGGCGATGGGACCGTGGTGGAGGTCCTCGCCACCCCGCTGCACGACAGCGGGGACGCCTTTGCGGATGCTGCAGTGGCGCCTATTCTGCAGGCCGCGCTCCCTGGGAACATGCTCCCCCTGTTGGATCGGGACGGTCAGGCAGAGCTGCGGCGGCGCGAGGCCGAGAAAAGAACGCAGGCGCATGCAGTGGATGGAGCCGCGACGAATGAGCCCATCTTCGCTGTGGCAAACTACGCGGCGGAGCAAATGCCTTTTCCAGACAACAGTTTTGACACAGTGGTGGACATGTTTGGTCTCTGCAGCTTCGACGACCCGGTGCGCGCGCTTCGTGAGATGTCGCGGGTGTGTAAACCAAGTGGGAACCTTCTTTTGCTTGAACACGGCAAGGGGCGCTGGGCGCGCATTAACGACCACCTCGACAAGTGGGCTCCTCGACACGCGAAAAAGTGGGGGTGCTGGTGGAATCGTGATATTAGACGGTATCTTCGTCTCGCAGGGCTCACGGTCGTGAAGGAGGAGGAGAAGCACTTTGGCACCTCGCTGTACATCGTGGCCAAGCCGTTCAAGTCGATGGATGAATGGGACGCCTACAACAGCAAAGCCGTGCAGGGCTGATGCGAAGTGGGTACCGTATTCCTCTCTGCTAACCAATTTTAAGGGATGGAGGGGCGAAGAAACGTAGCCAAGCACATTTTGCCTTGGCGGCAGACTGTGTGGGAAAAGTTCGCTTGGCAACCACACAAGGATGCCTCTTACGCACGTGTATGTGGCTCTCCCTCACTGTGTGGCGTCAGGTACGGGTATGTTTTCTTGTTGTTGTTGTTATTCTTCTCTTGCTGCGTATGGGCGGTCTTTCTCTCCCCTCCTTTTCTCTCACTGTGTGTGTGTGTGTCCCTGGAGTTTGTCTAATAGACGCCCGTGGAAGGAATATGCGGCCCAATAAGTGATATCGCGTCGTGCTTAAGCGGGCCCTGGTTTCTTTGTACGCCACGTGAATTTTCCCTGCTCCAAAGATGCCGCGGTGTAAAAGCTGGTGCGGGTGCATGGACCCTTTTCCCCCTCCCCCCCCTTGGCCCTCGCACCGCAACTACCGCGACTGCAAGCACCGCCGATGCCCTCCACGCGGGCAAAGTTCTGGCCGCTGCGTGTGTGGCCCACCCCCCTCCCCTCCTCACAGACTGCCACTTGCGAAGCCCATCGTGAGGGCCCGGGACGGCGCTGGCCGCACGGCCTCCTGCATGCAACCTGCGTGCTGCCGGATAATTCTCGGCGGCGGCGGCGGGGTGCGTGGGGCGCCTCGAACCAACGCCCCCTCCTCCCACTGTGGGGGCTCGCCATCTTCGTAGGGCTGCGAAGGGACTCGGCCGCTGCCGGCTGCGCGTTGCCTTTTTGTTGTTGTTGTTGTTGTTGTTGTTGTTGTTTTTCGTTTTCCCCTTTTTATTGTCCACGTGCCACCCTGCAACTTCCACGGGTTTGGGGGGAGGAAGGGAAGGTAGCCTCAAAAATCGAAGAAGACGAAGAAGAAGCCGAGGAAGCAGAAAAAGAAACCAAAAGAAACCAGCAAACAAAAAGACAAACAAAAAAAACAAAAACAAAAAAAACGACATACGACTAGTAATAATATTTTATTTGCTTCTTTGTTTGCAAGCGGTGGCAAGGCGAAAACCGCAAGACACCCATGGCGGTCCGTTTCCCCACGCTCGAGGAGCGGGCAACGCTCGTTGGCTTCGCGACGCGCCTCGCTGGCTGCTCGGCTGAGGACGCAGAGCTGCTTGGGGCCACCTGCGCCTCCCTCATCGCCGACGTCGACGTCGTCCAGGCGTTCATCTTCACCTCCGCCCCATTCGAGCCGCGGGAGACGCGGGGGCCGCAGCCGAGGCCAGACGCACCGCTTCCGCCGACCAACTACTGCCGCGGCGGCATCCCACTCGTTCTCACGTCCCTTTCAGACGACGCCCCGCCGAGGTGTGCCCTGTTTTCCGACACACAGGAGTTGTTTCGCACACAGGAGCCCTTGCTGCGGGCGCTGCAGCTGCGACTGCGGCGAGGAAAAGCCACCCTGACGAGCCTAAACGCGAAGTACAACTACGCCTTCACCGTCGTGACGGTTGGGAAACGGGGAACGGAGGCGAATGGGCAGGGTGGGAGGATTTTAACTGGCACGAGCGTGGGCGTGCAGTCCACGCCGGCGACAGAGCAGGCGCCGGGGGACGCCGGTGACACAGTTCCTGCAGCCAACCGAGGTGCGGAGGAGTGCGGCAGGGAGGGGCGCCGCGTGTATGTGGCCTTCATGCTGTTTTTGCAGACCCTTGACGCCCTCCTCGCGTGGGTGTCGAGTCTTCTGGGAATTCTGGACGGCGAAGGGGCGGTCCCGGCGGTTGGGACGTACGTCGTGCGCGACCCAGCGGAAAAGGAGACCGCAACGGACTGGGGCGGGAGCCACACAAGTGGCGAACAGCGTGGCAAGGCGGATGACACCGCTGGCGGCGTCTCGGCAGCCCAAAGCTGCGATGCTGCGCCTGCAAAAGAGTCGTCGCAGGGAGGGGCAAAGGGCACGGCTGCGGCCTCATCCTCCTCTGCGGTAGAGCATGCATCGGCTACCGCCACGCGACGACCGCGCAGAGTCCGCGTGACGCGGTACGAGCTGCATGACGTGAATAGCAGCTTCCAGCTTTTTCAGTGCCAGGCGAGCCTATTTTTTTTGCCGGAGTACACATCTTACGATCCTCGCCTGCAGCGTCGCCTGCTTGTCCCGGAATACTACCGAGCCCTACGTGAGACGGTCCGCGACATCAGCGAAGAAATAGAGCGCCTGCAGCAAATTGGGACGGCGTTAACGAAGGAGCGGCCGAATGGGGTCATCATCACCTTTTGCCCTGCAATTTGCAACTTTTGCTTCATCCGGGACACCCTGAAGTTGTACTGGAGCGGCTGCGTCGTCGAGGACGACATCACCTCCCTCCACTATCACCGGATGCAGTACAACAAGTGCGTGCTGGAGGTGGCCGAGGTCATGGGGGTTCTGAGGCAACTTCCCCGCCCACCCGCACGCGATGCCGCGGGTGGTCGCGCTCGCGGCAGCAATACTACCACTAGTGCGGCCAGTCGTAGTGGCGCCCCCGCCGCCTCCGTGGAGTGGGTGCTCGCCCCAGAGGAGCGTGGTGCCTTGGAGGCAGGGTTTGCGAGTTTTTGGTCCGTCCGCGGACGCGTGCTCGAGCTGAGCGACTCGCTCACTAGAGATATTCAAGCGAAGAATCGCACGCATCGCTACCAAATGCCTGCGCCACCTTTGCCATCCTCCGCTGCGGCCGCAAACGGGGCTGGAACAGGCGACGGCTTTGCGCAGTGGGTGAGGTCAACCGTGCGCAGCTGGAAACGACTCGTGACGTGTGGGGTAGAGTTGCCTGAGGGTTCGTCCTCGTCGGGGCGCGGGAATGGGGGGTTTTGCCGCTCCACGCATTCGCCACAGTACGAGTCAAAGGTGGAACTGCAGCGTCTCGTGCAGCGCTTGGTGAAGGCGGTGGAGGCGCAGGCAACGATCCTTGAGCGCGATTTCCCGGGGACTTTCTACAGGGACGCGAAGGCGAAGTGGGCGCAGCGGGCAGGCGGCGTCGTACGTTACTTGGAGTCTGTGAGCGTCGTTTTCTCCCCGCCCGCGTAGCGTCCGCACGTTCCGCGCCGCGGCACTGATAAAAGTCCCCTTCCTTTGACGCACAACTCAAGTTACTCCACCCGGTATTATTAGTATGCACCTCATTATTTGCTTGGCTTGCAGACGTTCATAGTTGTTGTTTTTTTTTCGCATTTTCAGGTGATTACGCACTTGCCCAGGACTGTTTTTTTTTATTTCGTTTGTTTCGTTGCTGGGCTAAATGAGAATTTGTTGCCGTGATGCGGGTCTCCCCGTTGCCTCCCACACTCCCCAGCTGGCGTGCACGTGGGTGGGGCCCACTCTCCCTCCTTCTCCCCCCGCTAGCGCCCGGATGAGAGCAAGTCAGATTTGGTGGAATGGCAGCGGCGGCGGCGGCGCGTCCTCATCGCAGGTGCCTGCTGCCGCCTACCCCGCCCTTGCGGAGAGAGTGTTTCTCCTCTACTGCAGCCCCGCCGGGGACGCCGAGTTCGACATTGTGCTGCTGCACGGGCTGGGGAGTGACGAGTTTAAGTGCTGGACGAACGAGGACGGCCTCCTGTGGCCAGCGGCGTTTCTCCCGCAGGAGTTTCCGCGCTGCCGCATTCTCTCCGCCGGCTACACGCACGCCCTGTGGCGCTGGTCGTCCACAGAAAAAACGAAGGCCAGCGAGGTGGAGGAAGTGGTGCAGCGCGAGGGCGAGTGGGTCGCCAGCTCCATTCGGCGCTGGGTGGCGGAGGCGCTGCAAGGCACCCAGGCCGCCGCAGCCGCAGCCGCAGCAGCAGCTGACGACGCGCCGCCGCCACGCACAGCCACCCCAGTCGTCGTCCGGCGAGGGCGAGCAGCAGCGACTGGAGAGCTGCGCCGCCGACCTGCTGGGGCGGCTTCTCTCCGACGCGGTGGGTGTCGGGAGGCGCCCCGTCGTCTTCATTGTCCACTCGCTGGGGGGCCTGGTGCTGAAGCAGATGCTCGTCCAGGTGGACAAGGCGGTGTCGCTGCGCCTCGCGGAGGCGGCGGCCAACACGGACGAGGCGGAGGGGGAGGAGAGGCAGGGCGCGGGGTCATCGCAGCCGTCGCTCCTGCGCTCGCTGAGAGGCATCGTGTTTTACGCCACACCCCACTTCGGGGCCCCGATTGCAAGCGTCGTGACGGGACTGAAGCGGTACTACGAGAGCATCGGCGGCATGGCTCCCTCGGCGATACTCACCACCCTCGGCGACCACAGCAAGGAGGAGTTGCTGAGCCTCAATGAGCAGTTCTTCCAGGCGATTGAGGGCTGCAGCGACGCGGGGTACGTCCACGTTCTCTCCTTTGGGGAAACCCGGCGCCTGAATGGGGTGCTGCGCATCGTGGAGCCGGCGTCTGCCAACCCCGCCGCGGATGACCCGCGGTTTCCGTTTTACCTCCTTGACGCCGACCACCTCGGCATCAATCGGCCCGTCTCAAAGGAGCAGCCGGCCTACACGATTTTGTTTGGCTTTCTTAAGCGCATGCAACGCGACGGACTGCTCTCTCGCACGGAAGGCAGCAAGACGGCTGCTGCCGCCGACGCCGGAGAGCTCCCGAGACGGCAGGAGGTGGAAGGCAATGACAAGGCAGCTGTTGTAGCGATGGGGGAGCCGCTTCTCGGCGATGCTGCCCTGCCCCAACGTGAGAGTAAGGAGGGGCTTGAGGTGCGTATGTTGCTTCACCTGCTGGATCACTGGGTTCGGCGGCTGCGAACGCACTCCACAACCCTCTTTGGCTTCATGATGCCCATGCAGCTGAGCAAACTCCTGGCGTTGGTGAAGGACATCGTCGACTACGTCACCGCGTCTTTTTCCTCGACAGAAACGGCCAATGAGGCCTACCTACTGATACCACTGCGCCTCCTTGCCTACTGGGCAGAACGCGCCGTTTCTACGCTAGAGAACTTCTTAATGTGTCAAGCCGAGCGCTCTGTTATGCATCACCTTTCTGCCCTGGAGAGTCGCACGCTGCACGACATTGATTGCGCTGCGGCGGCGCTGCGGCGTGAGTGGGAGTGGTTTCACCTGCAGCTCTGCCAAACGCATCTCCTCCCGGACGGCTACCCGGTCGTGATCTTCTTTTCACAGTCCGTCACGCTCACCGTCGCGGATGCCATGATGGACGACGCTGGCTGTCTGCTTGTGTTGGCCACGCAGTGTGTGCCGGAGGCCTGTGGGTGGCAGCGGGACGCGGCGATCTCGTGGGGGTCGCAGGAGACACACGCCCGGCTTCCGCCCTCCGTCTCTATGGTGGGCGCCCTGCTCACCGGCTGGATGTGCCTTGGCGTCACCCGCAGGTACCGCTGCGCCACAGCGGCATTCGAGCGCCTCCTCCGCGACTTGCGGCTGCTGCAGCAGGACGCAAGCGACGTGCTGCAGCCAGCGGCGACGGCTACTCCCCCCCGCGCGCGCCCCAGCGCCCAGGAGGCCAACTTTACGTGGTGGTGGGGGGGCGGCGGCGGCAAGGCAAAGACGATGAGTGTAGAGAGAAAAAAAAACCTTTTGCAGGTGTTTGCGTTGCTGGCGCAAGCCAGTCTGTGCTGGAGCCTTTTCCTGCTTGCCCAGCTCCCCGGGGCGGTGACAGCTTCCGCGCCACCGAGCGCAGACAAGTGTGCGGGGGCGCTGCATCAGGCCCTGATGGAGGGCTCTCGCCGCTGCGGCCTGCTGGAGCGCAGCCTTCGCATCGACAGCATCACGGGCCGCCCGTTTGCCTCCATAAAGCGCATTCCGGCGGCGGCGTCGCGGGCGGAGGGGAAACCGCGCCATGCCGCGGGGGCGACGGAGAACAAAAAACGTTCACCCGTCCGCGCATCCACCCTCCTAAAGGGCGCCGCGCTGCGACGCAGTCTCACCTTTATTTGGGACGACGTCCGGCAGGGGGAGAGCAGCGAAGAGGCGGCAAATCGCTTTGCCGCCAGCGTGTTGGTCTTCTGGTGGATCATCGAGAGGCGTGTGAGGTTGCACGGCGCCGTGGGCACTGCGGACGGCGGAGCGGTCAAGGAGACGCAGGAAAAGGGCGCCTTGCAGGACCGGTCGCCGTGGGTCTGGGAGAACGCCCACCCCCGCGTGAAGAGTCAGTGGCTCACCTGGTGGTGCGTCACCAGCGACCCTGTCAAGAACTCCGGCGAGATGAATACCGGGCAGCTTCGACTCTTGACGGAGGCACTGCAGCTCCACAACGGCAATGCGCTGGCGTTGTACCTAACTGGGCGGCACCACCTCTGGCGAGGCCAGCTGGTCCCTGCCGCGGAGGCGTACCTGCGCGCCTTGGAGTCCACGCGGAGCGTGGACAACGCGCTCTACCGCGTCTCCGCCGTCGGCCTCGGCTGGGCGCACCTGCACCACCACCGCTGCGACGGGCGCGAGGGCGGCGGGGTGGACCTCCTCGCCCTGCTGGGGGGCCCGTCTGGGCTGCGGGAGTCCTGGTGGCTGCGGCAGGGAGAGGCGCCTGCGCGGCAGTGCGGCGCCACCGTCACTGCCGCCGACACGGCGGACGCGCACGAAGGCGGCGAGGACGTTGCACACCACCTGAAGCGAGCCTCCGCCCTCTTTGAGGCCGTGCTGGCCTTCGACCCCCACGACAAGGGGGCGCTGTGTGGGATGGGGCGCGTGAAGATGTTAGACGTGGAGGCGGCGTGCAGGGTGGCCTTCCCAGCCGCCCGCCGACACTTCGAAACTGTGCTGGGGGCAACGGCGGCCACGCCAGAGACGGGCTGGGAGCGAAAGGGGAATCGGGAGGACGGCATTGCGGCCTTCGACGATCGGCTGTGGGAGTCACGTGCGGCGTACTGGATGGGGGAGATCCATAGATGCAGCCCGGAGGCAGACATCGAGGCAAGCGAGACACTCGCAAGCAACATGCAGGATGTGAAGGCGTGGTGGGAGTACGCGGTGGGGCGGCACCCGCGGAACGATTGGGCCCTCACCGCGCTGGGGCTTCTTTACGCGGGGCATCGGCCTCGACGCCACCACGGCGACGCCGAAGCGGCGCGGCAGTGCGGGGCGGGGGTGGAGCTGCTGCAGCGCTCACTGGCCGTGAACGCAAAGAACACCTGGACTCTGTGGGGCCTCGCGCATCACTCGCCCGACGTAACGCAGCGGCAGACGTGCCGCATGCTGCTGAAGAAGCTGCTACGAAAGTGAGCCTGGGAGGCTGCCTGTGCGTGTGCGTGCATGTAAAAAAAAGACGTGTACCTGTGGACCCAATTTCCTCTTCTTTTTGTCTTTTTTTTGTTTTTGTTTTTGCTGGAATGCTTCTTTCTCAGTCTTCTTCTTTTTTGTTTGCTTGCTTTTCTCCCTGGTTTCAGCCTGCGCCTCGCTTCACATCGCTGGACTTCAGCTTTTGTTTCCGTTTTGTGCAACTTCTCTTTCCCTTTTCTCTTTCGCTCTCTTGCGCCCCTCGCCCTTCCACCCGCGCACTGCAGCGCAGCGAGTGAGGAAAGTCGCCGCTTCTGCAGAGTTGCCCGCGCCACCCAGTTGCAAGGGGGACACGGCGCAGCGGCACGTAGAGGCAGCGGCAGCAACAAACAAACAAACACACACACACACACACACACACCAGCAGCAGCGGCAGCGGCAGCGGCAGCAGCGAGTGGGAGGAAGGGCGGGTTGTGAGGTGCCATGTCTGCGGACACCAGCGCAATAGCCGTCAACACCTCGGGCATTCCTGCCTCCTCCGGCGCCGATGGCTCCTACGCCCTGCTCAGCGGCAGGGACGCCGTGCTGCGGGGTCGCACGTTAACACCGCCGCCGTCGTCGTCGTCGGCACTCCCAACCGACAACGGGAAAACAGGGGAGGAGCAGGAGGGCTCCTGCAGTTATTGTCGCCCGGCTGCGCAGCCGCTTTCCGGCAGCGCGAAGTCCTGCGTTTCCCTCCACTACGACCCTTCCGCTGCGTCGCACCTCCAGGCGTACTCGCGTGAGGGACCGACGACGCTGGAGCTCGCCGGGTACCATGCAAACACCGCGGCGGCAGACGCCACCCCGCTGCGACACGCGGAGCTGCGGGAGATGCTGGTGGCCGCCGAGCGAGAGTTGGCGGAGGCGCGGGAGGAGAGCGTGCGACGCGGCGCGGAGGCGGAGGCCCTCCGCGTGGCCCTGGCGCGGGAGCATGACATAAACCAGGGCGCCCAGGCGCGGCACGAGGAGTCGGTGCGAGAGCTGCGGGAGGAGCATGCGGAGCAGACGCAGCGGCTGCTGGACCAGATCGCGCTGCTGAAGCGGCTCTCCGAGGGGGTGATGGAGGAGAAGAAGAAGCTGACGGAGGACGCCTCGCAGCGGAAGCTGCAGCTGCTCGCGTTGCTGGACCGTGAGCGGGAGGAGAAGAGTCAGATCATGGCGGACTACCGGCAGCAGACGGAGGCCCTCATCGCGGACCAGGGAAAGGAAATCACCTCCCTGCGGGGCACGCTGCAGACGCTGCGGGAGGAGCAGGAGCGCCTTCTCTCCGAGCAGCAGGAGTTCGAGGAGCAGAAGCGGGCGTTGGAGGAGAAGGCGACGCAGCTTGGGGAGAGGCTCGCCAGGGAGCGCACGGAGGCCGAAAAGAGGCTGCACGAGGCGAATCAGCGCCACGCGCAGCGGCTGGAGGAGGTGGTGGCGCAGAACGAGGAACTCTCGAGCCGCATGGAGGGGGAGGCCGGCAAGCTGCAGGAGCGGCGGCAGGAGCTGGAGGAGCAGCTGCGCAGCCTCACGGAGCGGCTGCGGCGACAAGAGGAGGCCTACGCGCTGGAGCAGCAGACCCTGAAGGAGACGCACAGGCGCGAGGTCTCGGAGCTCCGCGACGAGCTGCAGGCGACGATGGAGCAACGCGAACAGCTGGAGGCCCAGCACGAGAAGGAGCGGCAGAAGCTCTTAAGAAACGAGGAGACGCTCATCCAGTCGATGCGCCAGGCAGTAGAAGACATGCGACAGGAGAAGGAGACCGTGGCGGAGGAGGCGGCGCGGCAGCAGGCGGAGATGCAGGAGAAGCACTGGGCGAAGGCCAACCAGCTGCAGAGCATTGCGGAGAGCCTGCGACGACAGCTCGCCGAGGAGACGGCGCTGCGAAAAGAAGCGGAGTCGGAGCGGGATCTTGTGACGGTTCGGGCAGATGGTCTGCAAGGCAGCGTGAGTCGCTTGACGAATGAGCTGGAGTCGCTGCATGTGGAGTACCGTGCCCGGGAGCGGGCGGCAGGGCAGGAGCGGCAGAATAGTTTGGAGCAGCTGCGGTCGCAGCTTCGCGAGCGCGCGGGGGAGGTGGAGGCGCTGCAGCAGGAGGTTACACGGCGGGAACTGGAGGAGCACAGACTCCGCGAAGAACTCGCAGCCAAGGCGCAGGCGCTGCAGAGCACGCGGGCGGAAAGCAAACGGTTACTGGAGGAGGTGCAGCAGGCCGCCGAGGAGCGAGAGCGGGAGACGGTAGAGCGGGAAGCCGAGCTCGCGAAGACCCTCATGCTTATCCGGGCGCAAAAGACGCAGGTGGAAGCCGAGTGCCAGCGTTTGCAGCGCGTCCTCGCGGAGCTCGAGGGGCGCCAGCAGTCGTGCGAGAGGCAGCTGGGGGAGGAGCGCCGCGCCCTGGAGGCGGCGACGGCGGCGGCGCAGCGGTCGAGCGATGAGGCGGAGGAGCACAAGGCGGCCCTTCGCCGGGCGCAGACCCGCCAGCAGGAGCTCGAAGAGGAGCTGCGGCGCAGGGGCGACGAGCATGCGGCGGCGGCGGCGCGGGTGCTCGAGCTCGAGGCGGCGCTGGAGGCGGCGAATAGTGAAACGGTGCAGCAGTCGCGGGAGGCGGTGCGGGCCGCAAAGGCCCACGAGGCGGAGCTGCAGTTGCTGCTGCAGCGGCAGCAGGCGGAGGCGGCGGCGCTGCGCCTCGCGGCGGATCAGATGCGCGGCGACGCGGCGAAGGCGCGCGAGGTGGCGGCGGCGAAGGACGAAGAGCTGCACCGCCTGCGCGAGGAGGTGAACCAGCTGCACCGCGACGCGGCAATGCGGGCGGGGTCCTGGCAGGATGAGTTGGCGGAGTCGCGGGAGGTGCACGAGGAGGACATGCGGCGCATGGACGAGGTGCTCTACACGCTGCGCGCCGACCTCAGTCGGGCGCAGGCGGCGAAGGTGCAGTGCCAGAAGGACGCGGCGCAGCTGCAGCGCGAGGCGGAGCGGCAGCGCACGCAGCTCGAGGACATGCTCGCGCAGCTGGAGGCGGCGAAGGAGCAGCTGCAGGAGGACGCCCGCTACCGCGAGCAGCTCAACAACGAGCTGCAGGGCACCGTGAAGCTTCTCTCCTCGCGACTCGCGGCGCAGGAGGACGACGTCCGACGGCTGCAGGAGGAGCTGGCGGAAGTGAACAACAAGCTTCACAACGCCCACACCTTTCTCGGGCGCAAGGACGCCGCCATCGGGCAGCTGACCGCACGGCTGCGTGCATACGAGGCAAGGACCGGGGTCTCCTCGGCGTGACCCGGGCCGCGTCCCCGCCCTCCCCCGTTACACACGCCCACCCCCTTTTGTTTCTCTCTCTCCCCGCGTGCGTATGGAGGAGGGCTAGAGAGAGAGAGAGAGAAGTAGTTTTTTTTAATTGAAGACAAAAATGAGGAGGGAACGAGCGCCTACATACATACATACATGCATGCATACATACATGTCTCGCTGTAGAAGAAGTGAGGGGGTGGCGGAGGGGAAGGAAGTGGCAGACGGGCGTAGTGGCGCTGCCACCGTCGGGGCCGTATCCGCCGTAAATCCATATAGATACGAAGAGAAGTAGCGAATGAAGGCGATAGAAGGAAAACAAATGAAAACAAAACAAAATAGGAGAGATTTCTCACTTGCTTCGCTTGTTGTTTCTGCCAGAGCTATTCGTTATTGTTTATGGCCGCTTTACATCCTTGTTTTTCGCTTTGGTTTGTTTTTTCTTTCTTTCTGCCTCTTGCTGTGCGTGTGCGTGCGTGTGTGTCTGGCAGTGTCCCCTGCTTTTGGCAGATGTCAACCGTAAACCGGCTTCGGTGCCTGGAGAAGCTCGGCGAGGGCACCTACGGCGTGGTGTTCAAGGCGAAGGAGAACGCCACGGGGCACATAGTGGCGTTGAAGCGCATGATGATCAGCGGGGAGGACGAGGGGGTGCCCGCCACCGCCATTCGCGAGGTGTGTCTGCTGAAGGAGCTCAAGCACGACAACATCGTCGCGTTGCGCGACGTGCTCTTCGAGCCGCCCAAGGTGACGCTCATCTTTGAGTACTGCGAGTACGACCTCAAGAAGTACATGGAGCGGCACCCCTGCAGGACGACGGCCGCCGTGCTGCAGGAGGCGCGGCAGATCATGAAGCAGGTGCTCCTGGGGCTGCGCTACATGCACCGCCGCCACGTGGTGCACCGCGACCTGAAGCCGGAGAACATATTTCTTAACATCGCCCGCGCCGCAAGGGGCACGGGTCGCGGTGCGGCGGTGGAGGCTGCCGTAGCGCCTGGGCCCGAGACGGGGGCAACGCCGCCACCCGCGCCGGCGGAACTGAGTGGCGGCGGCAATCAGCTCTTAGCGGATGGCGGCGTCAATGGCGCCGACGGCGACGACGCCGCGCAGCTGGTTGTGAAGCTGGGCGACTACGGGCTGGCGCGGGTGGAGAACATCCCCGTTAAGAAGTACTCCCACGACGTGGTCTCGCTCTGGTACCGTAGCCCCGATGTGATGATGGGGACCGCCCTCTACGGCTTCGCCGTCGACATGTGGTCCGTCGGCTGCATCTTTGCCGAGATGATCACGGGGAAGCCGCTGCTGAACGGCCGCACGGAGGCGGAGCAGCTGCTGAAGATATTTTGCCTCCTCGGCACCCCCACGCCGGAGACGTGGCCCTCGCTGCCGAGCTACCCAAAGTGCAGGCAGATGATTGACGCAACGGCCAAGCTGGCGCGGGAGCAGGCCCTGGCGGCGTGTCCGGGCGCGAAGAAACAGCAGCCGCAGCAGCCGCAGCAGACCAACGGGGGCCAGGCGGGGCAGCGGTGCCAGGGGCGTCCAGACGACACCGCGCGGCCCTCGAATGACGCCAACGGCGCCAACAGTAGCGGGGCCCCGGAGGCGCCTCGGACGGGCTACAGTTTCCCGCCCGCCTTGTGCCTTCGGCGCGGCTTTGACGACTACGTGGAGAAGTCGCGTTTCCGCGAGATTGCCGGCGAGGAGGGGGTCGACCTGCTGCGGAAGCTGCTGTGCTACGAGCCATCGTACCGCCTGACCGCCCACGAGGCGTTGCTGCACCCGTTCCTGAAGAACACGCAGGTGCCGGTGCAGCGCAAGGTAGACGTGATGTCCGCAATGCTGAGGCAAACGCTAGAGGAACATCGACTCCTGGATCTCTGTGGCGTGTAGGCGCCCGCCCCGCCGCTCCGCGACGACAGACACCCACAATAATGAAACGGCAACAATCACCCAATCAATGTGACTCTCTCTCTCTCTCTCTCTCTCTCTCTGCGTTTGTGTGTGTGTGAATGAGGTCCCGGTGTACTGCCGGTGGGTCGACGACGTCCACGCACCCGTGCACCGCTGCGCGCCCCACACACGGCGTAGTTGCCTTTTTTTTCTCTCTCTCCGTGCAGATACATATGTATGTATGCATATATGTGCAATTCTCTCTCTCTCCCCCCTACTTTATATGTGTATAGCCTATTTTTGTTTTGTTTCGTTTCCAGTGCTTCCCTCTGTATGTGCCTACCCCTGCAGCAATGAACCCCTTCGAATCTGAGGGGGGGGGAAACAACAACAACACACACACACACACGCTTACAAAGTAAAAGTAAACAACAAGAAGGAGAAGAAGGAGAGGAAATAACTTCACCGTGGAGGTGAAAAGGGAGTTGAAGGAATAAAGAGAAGCAAAGTACCTTGGGTGAGGAGAGGGAAGAGGAGAGGGTATTTTCTTTATCGTGTGCACCAGCAACCCAGCGGCGCAGGCACACACACGCACATGTATACCCACGTACGATGTGTATTTTGGTTTGGTGAGGCGGGGTGTACTTTGAAGCATCACAAATACTGATGGTTCTCTTCAACGCAACCGCATATTGCCTTGAGGCGTTCCTCCACTGCTTCCTCCCTCTGTCTGTGTCTCTCTGTGTGTTCAGCTTCCCCGACGTGTGCGAGCGGAGGCGGCGGCCTGCGCGCGGTAGACGCACGTCTGTTGGCGCAGCGTCGTGGGGGATACATGTGCACGTATAAATGTGGCAACGTGTGTGTGTGTCTTGGTTTGCATCCGTTCCCTTTCTTTTTGCTCCGCTGCAGCCAGAGCGGCAAGGCGGAGGGAGCGGCAGAGACCCCACTTTCCCGCCGCCCGCTTCTCTGGCGCCTCGTCCCGCTTGGGTCCGCGTTGACCCCTACAGCCGCCGCCCCTCTCCCTCCTGCCCGGTGTATTTTTATTTTTATTTTTTTTGTTTTATTTATTTTTGCTCGCCGCCTCCGCCGTCGCCACGTTTCTTCTTTTCGTTTTTCGGCTCGCGGCGCATGGGGGGCGTGCATTTGTGTGTGTGTGTTGTTGTTGTTGTTGTTGTGCCGCCGGCACGGGCGGAGGAGCCGCCGTGGGCCCAACGCGGCTGCCATTTTTTTTGTGTTTTATGTTTTGTTGTTTTGTTGTTGTTGTTGTTGTTTTTTTTAGTTTTGTTTTGTGTTTCGTTTTCGTTCCTGCGGCCGCTGCCTGCCCGCCCCGCCGCAGCGACGGCGCATCCCCCGCACCCACTTGCGCCTCACTCACTTTTCCCCTTCTTCCGCCTTTTATTCCGCCTGCCTCTCCGCCTGTGGCACGCGTTCGTGGCGGGGGCGCCGCGCAGACGGCAAAGCGGCAGCGAAAGGGAAGCGGCAGGCGAAGGCAGCAGCCACAGCAGCAAAAGGAATAAAGTTTTGTTTTTGTTTTGTTTTTAGAACGCAGTTCGATCGGAAGGTCTTCAGCGCAGGCGCACCGTGACCGGGTCCACCGCAGCCACACACACACACAAACGCACGGCCCCGCCACAACAACCAACGCGCAACTGGCGGCCCGCGTAAAAACAAACAAACAAACAAACAACAGCAACACGCGGAGAAACATACATACATAAAACATTGATATTATTGTAATAAAGCAAAAAAAAAAAAAGAATTCTGGGGGCCTGGCAGCCTTAGGAGGAGTGAGTTTATTAAGCGGGAAAAGGCACTAACGTGGGGGCGAGAACAACAGGCGCAAACACCAGAAGACATATATATATATATATATATTTATAGTATAAGTAGAGGGGCCAGCTCGCTGAAATAAGAAGGGAGCGAGCGAAGCGAAAGGTAAAAAATAAAAGGCTAAACCGCGTAGAACAGCAAGCTACACGGGGTGAGCTGAGTCTCTGCCAGCGTTGGGTGCCATAGAATTCTTCCTCGCAGCGTGGAAGGGAAGGAGCACGGGCGAAAGGAAAGCGGGATTCTTTATTATTATTATTATCTGCTGTTGCTGTTGCCCGTGGCGTTTGCGGAAGGGGAGGCGGAGCCAACTCAGCAGCAAGCGGGTTAAATGCGGGACCAACGGCATCTCCACCGCCGCAACTGGCGCCCAATGAAGCGGCGAATGTGGTTGTACTTTACAAAGAACCGGAAGGCGTGCATTCTGTTTTTGCTGCTGCTGATGCAGCTGCTCGGCTTCCTCGCGTACAGCGGGTACGTGAGGAGGGTGGGGCAGGGGAGGCCTGGCCGCGCGGCGCACAGCCAGGGGGATCAGACTATATTTATTGGCGAGGCTAAGCCACGGGACGCGGCGGCGCTTGGGGGTCTGACCACCGCCGTGCAGAAGTACACCCCCGCGGAGCTGTTGGCCGCGTACGATGACATGGACTTCATCTACACCTTCGTGAACGGCACGGAGCGCGACCACGCCTTTCGCCGCCTGCTCTGCTACGAATGCATCGGTGATATTATGCGTGCGGAGGAGGCCTTCTACTCGCAGGGCAAAGTCGTGAGGCCGGAGTGTGTCAAGCATGGCGCTTTACCCCGCGCGAAAACGGTCCGGGCGCTGTTGGAGGAAGTGAGCGGCGGCCCCGCCAAGGAAGCATCGGTGCGCGACCGCGAACGCGACGAGCTGCGGTACAGCATCCGAAGCGTGGAGCAGCACATCCGCTGGCACCGCGGCCGCCTGCTCATCGTCTCCCCTGGCCACCACCCGTACTGGGTGGATCAGGCGAAGAACTTCATGTTGAGCGCCCTCGCGGCCAACCGGGGGCCCCACATGCGGGGACGGCACCCCCGCCTCACCACCGTGCACCAGGACGTGCTGATGCCCTACGGCATGCGCCTCACCCTGGACTCGCACACCATTGAGATGCAGCTCTTCCGCGTGCGCAACACCACCCCCATCCACGTCTTCTTCAACGACGACTACTTCGTTAACCGCGACGTGGAGGTGACCCATCTCCTCAACGAGAACGGCGGCACCTACGTTCGCACGGAGAACGGCATGCTGCAGAGGGCGGTCCGGGCCTCCGGCGGGGGCTCCTGGGGCGCTGGGGTGGATCACACAAACCTCTTCAACACGATGGAGCTCGACATCCACAAGGAGGACCGCCTCCCGCTCAACCTCTTCGAACGCTGGCAGGCGGCGGGGGAAGACCCCACGCAGAGCGTCCCGGTCGCCTCCGGGGACCGGCTCATCCACACCGCCCACAGCCATCGCCCGTACTCGCTCCCCCCGAAGGCCACACCGCAGCGGCCACGCTTTTACGCCACACACGCGCCGTTTGTGTACTGCACCCGCATGTTTGAGTTTATCAACACCAGGTATGAGCTGGAGGTGGCCACCAACACCATGAGCCATCGCGGACGTTCGGCGCGCGACCTCTTCACCCCCTTTGTCTACAACGCCTTCATCATGGCACGCCCGTGGCAGTCCTCACCGCGCTTCCTGCCGTACCTCACCAAACTGCGCTTGAGCCGCATGAGTGACCGCGGGGACCCCGCCCCGCCGCCGCTGCATGTTCGCCTAGACAACAAGGATGCCTGCGCCCCCGCCACGCTGCTGCGCGGACGGGTTTCAGAAGCCATGTATGGAAAGTTTGTGGACGAAGCCGGTGGAAATGAACGGTTCATGCGTTCAGTGAAGGAACGTAACCCGCTTTTCTTCAACATCAACGACGGCTTCAGAGAGCTGAACAGCACCTTGCAGTTGCAGGCCTTCCTCTCGAGGCTTTTTCCGCAGCCGGTGTTTGTTGAACGCACCGCAGCCGAGAAAGACAATCACGCCCCGTATATTACCGCGTTTCAGGGTCTGATGAAGCTTCCCCTGCTCATCTTTGCCTCATACAGGGAGGCGCTCTGTCCCCTCGTCCGCAGCCTAAAGCTTGCCATGCCGCAGTTTGACGGACAGGTGATACTGGTGCGGGAAACTGGCGCAGCGGCAGAGGACAAGGAAGGCCTCGAGGGGGTGCGACAGCGGCTGAAGCACCGAGTGAGGAGCGCAATGCCAGTGGTGCTGTGCACGTTTGGCGGGAAAGTGAAGGAGGTCAACGTGTCCACCGGGCAAGACATCAGTGCGGCGGTGAAAGAGGCCCTCAGCGCCGTACCAAACTCCGCCAAACCACCCGTGCTGCTGCCGGAGGACTACATTGGCGGCAGTCAGGTGAAGGTGGCCGCGCTGGCTATTGATGCCCGCACAAGCCACCCCCTCGACAGCGTCGCGGCGCTCACGCGCGCCATCGAGGTGCCGGGACAGTCCCTGGCCCTCGAGGACTTTGAGCTTGCAGGCCCGATTGGCTCACAGGGCTCCGTTTTGGTTCTCTCACGCGCGGACGCAGCGCGGAAGGCGGTCCACTGGGTAAATGGCGCCTCGGAAACGGACCTGCTGATCACCTTTCCTCTGCCGTACGCGCTTTATGAAGTCCTCGACGCGCCCGTAAAGTGGTCTTTTAGGTAGTAGTACCAGAAAATGCCAAGTTGCCTGGTCTCTGCCCGTTGGTATGCGTAGGCACACGCACACAAGTGGCTGGGCGCCTCGTCGCCCCCGCATCCCACACTCAAAATCTACCATCCGTACCACTCACCCGCCGCGTTGCGGTTGAGCCAAGCCGGCGGCGGATGGGAGGTTGGACTTGGCTTCTCTACTGCGGGAGTAGTGCGTCTTTTTTTTCTGGTTATGAGTGCGAAAGAGAGACGTCAGCAATAATAAAAAGGAAAAAGAAAAAAGTAGAAAAAAAAAGAAGGCAACAAAAGTAAAACAAAAAAAACGTTCTCCAGAGGAGTCAAACATAATAGAGTTGCATCAGTTGTTGTTTTTGGCGGCAGTTGCTGGCGCTAGCGTCGGCTATGCTCTTCTGCTTGCGTTGCCTCTGCCCCTCCCCCTCCCTCCCCCCCAGCTCATCTGCTCCCGTCGCTTTGTGTCCCCTGCGTGTCTCCGCACACGTGGGTTATTTTACACCCTGCGTTCGCAGGGAATTTGAGGGGGCCGCGGCGAAGGAGCAAGCAGGTGCCTTGGGGATTGTTCACCGGCCACCATGCTCTGCCCGCGGGCTGGTAATGGAGTAATGCAGACCCGGCGCAAAGAAGTTGACTTTTGTTGTGTTTTCATTGTTTCTTTGCCGTGCGTTTTTTTTTCGTGTTGTTTTTTTTGTGTTTTAACTTCTCCTTCCACTTTTTTTTTATTTTCTGATGTTCCAAAAAACAGCTTTTTTTTTTCAATTAATCACGCAGCTGCGCCGCTTTGAGAGCCGCCCTGGCGCACGCACGCGTGTTTTTTTGTTTTGTTGTTTTTTCCCCCTCCTCCTTTTGTTTTTGTCCATGTTGTTTGCTGCGTCGCAACAAACTCCTCCTCCCACCGCCGCCGCCTGTGGGCGTCGCCTCTCGCCTTCACGTTTCCCGCGCGCTTTTGGCCACTCTGCGGCCTTTTCTCTGCTCACGTGCGTGGGCGTGGCCTCACCGCCGCGTTGGACCCCCCACCGCCAGCAAAGGCAAGCAAGCAAGCAACAGCAAGGAATAAAGTAAGTGACGCAGGAACGCATCGAGGCGGCAGAGATGACGCAGGAGGATCAGGCCGCCCCAGCCGCAAGCGGGGGGACGGTGACCTTTCGCGTTATTCTCACCTCTGAGCGAAGCCAGCCGTTCCGCGTCATCAGCATTGCGGAGGAGGCGCCCCTCACCGCCGTGCTGCGCTTCGCCGCAGAGGAGTTTGGCATCGCCTCGGTAGACTCCATGGCAGCCACGACGAAGGACGGCACCGGCATCAACCCCGCACAGACGGCGGGGAATGTCTTTATGAAGTACGGGCAGGAAATACGCCTCATTCCGCGTGATCGTGTAGGAAATATATAATTTTTTTTTCTTTTGACGCTTCTGCTCGTCAGCCCATATACATCTTTATGCATATATATATATATATGTATCCGTGTAATGCAACGGAGGTATTTCCGCGGTTACACGTCTTTGGGTGGCGGTGTAATGACGTCTGTGCGTGCTTTTCTTTTTTTTCGTTGTTTGGTATATGCGTTATCACGCTACTGTGCGGCGCCGCGCGGAGGTGGCGCTCCACACAAGAACTGCAGCAACTTAGCGTCTGTGCGTGGCCTTCTCTCTTCGCCCGGTGCACTGCCTCTCCTTTGCTGCTTTTCTCTCTCTCTTTCTTTCTCTCTCTCTCTGGCTGTAATGGTGTGCGGGCGCCAATCCCAACCGAGGCGGAACAGCGAGTCCGTTGCGTGCACACGTGCGTATTTGGGTTTAGCTTATATTTTGCTGCAAAAGGCGCCCACCGGCGTCTTCTTCTTCGCTCCAAGCAGGTACACACACACATATATATATATATATATTTACCTGTGTAGAAATAAATAAACCTAATATATATATATATATACAGACACACACACGTTTGTTGCGGAGGGACCATGGCGCTCTCCCCTCAGTGGGCCCAGTCGGTTGTTGTGCGGTCGGACGACGGCACGATTGTGCGTCCGCAGTCGCACGGGTCTCTGGTCGCCTACACCTACGCCGCCGCGGGTCGCCCCATCATCGTCCGCCCCCGCGATCCCCGCGTCTTCACCGCCGCGTCCTCGCACGACGGGAAAGAAGCTGCCGCGGGGCAGGCGGAGGAGGGCGGGTATGACGCCCACCGTGCCGGCGGCGGCGGCGGCCAGGCCTCGCTGCTCTCTTCGCTTATCACCGGAAGGGACGTGGCGGCGACGTTTTGGGTCCCCGACCCGAAGCGAAACGAGGTGGGCCTGCTGGAGGCCATGCACCGCCGCACGGCGGCAAACCGCACGCATGTCTTGCTCCACAGCAGGCCCCTGCCGGAGCTGCAGTTCAACTTCTCCACCTGCCAGGGCGACAACATTGACCTCTCCCACGACGCGTTCCGTCTCTCCAAGACATCCATGGCGATGCTGCAGCTGGAGCGCAGGCTTATGGACGGCGACGAAATCGTTCTGCACTCCGACGCTGACGCCGGCGGAGGTGGGAAATTTGGTCGCACGGATAGTGATGTGAGGAGACAGCCGCATGCCCCGCCCACCGCGTCGGCTACTATCTCTGGGAAGGCCTTCAAGGATCAGCTGCGGCAAGGGCTGCGCGCCCTTCACGAGGAGGAGTACTACCTTGTTCGCTACCGCGACTACAGTGCGTGGGCCGTGCGATACTACGCCGACATTGCAAAGAAGGATCACTTTTGGGCCAATAAGTACGTGGAGCAGTGCTTTGCGGTTCACGTTGGGAAGGAGCCGGGGGAGCTGATCCCCATCACGGAGGCGCAGTTTCTCTTTGGTGTGGAGATGCTGCAGCGACAGCTTCTCGAACAGGTCGGCATGGGCGTCACCGTGGACATAAACTACTCGGCACTGAGCAAGGATCAGTTCCGCTCGCTAGGGGTCATCCTTGGCAATGGAATGCGAGACGTGGGCGTAGAGGGAGAGGAACTTCGCCGCCGCCAAGAAGCGGAGCGGGAGGAGGAGGAAAAGAGACGTGCCGCAAATTTTAATTCCGGCGCGTACGAGCCACCGAGTATGTGGGACTGGAGCCCGGCCGCAATAAAGAAGCGCATTGACCACCAACTGCAGCGGCAATACCAGACACTTGGGCGCCTCGTGGTGCGTGGTGTGGTGTTGGGGGTGGGTTTGTACGTGGCGTGGTCGTACGTCAGGCGCGCCCTGCCAAGCGACGATAACGGCGTCAACAGTCGGGGGCAACGACGAAAGCGCTGGGGCGCGCGGGATAGCTACTACGGGGACGAAGACGCCAAGTTTGCCCCCAAGGGCTTCCTGCGTAGCGTTATGTTTGGCCCGAAGGAGGTGTTTGACTACCTGCTTGCACCCACCACCAGCGACTAAGTCCGGAGGAGGAGAAGGCGGCGGCTATGCCCCTTGCGGTGCTGGCGGCTGGGAGGGTTTTTTATCCTCTTACTCTTTTTTTCTGTTGCATGCAGGTTGCGGTGCTTCTTTTTTTCTTTTCTTTTTTC